GTATATCCACATTTTATAGCTGAAGGCTGAGGCCCAGAAAGGTTAAGTAATTGGTCCAAAGTCACATAACTAGTAAATTGCAGAGCTGGGGTTCAAACCCAGTCTGCCTCTATTTACACACTTAGTCATTATGCATACTACTCTTTCAATTCTTTGTATTCTGTACTTATTCAATAGCAAATACTTATGTCAGACTTAAAATATGCCAGGCACTCATCTAAGAGCTCATACACAGTCAGGCACCGTATAACAACATTTCAGACATTTCCGTCAACAGTGGACTGCGTACACACAACAGTGCTCCAAAGAATTACAACAGAGATGAAAAATCACCAAGTGACTTCATGGTCATCAATAATGTCCTAGTGCAAAGCATTGCTCATGTGTTTGTACTGACATGTTATAAACAAACCTACTGCCCTGCCTATTGTATAAAAGTGTAACACATATAGAACTTTTGGTCAGGATGGTGGTGTAAGTATATTATTCTCACCTCCTCCCACAATCACATCAAAATTATGACTAAATTATAGAACAACCACCAATGAGAACTACCTGAAAGACTAGCTGGACCAGAATCCAATAACTAAGGTCATAAAGGAGAAGCCCTCTTGAGGCTGGTAGGAGGGGCAGAGATGCAGAAGGGCAGGTCACACATTCACAGTGTGGTGGTTAAGAATTGGGAGGGATATTTCAGCTGCAGAGGTCCCTCCTGAGGATCTAGGGGTCACAGCCTTGCACTGGGCTGTCCAGCTTGGGACACCAGTGTAGGAGAGTAGCCCTCAGAACATCCGGCTGTGAAAACCAGAGGGACTGCATCTTAGAAACATGAAAGCTATAAGAGACCGAGATGCTGTTCTTAAAAGGCCCACACACAGACTTACACACTCTAAGTTCCAGTACAGGACCAGCAGCTAATAAAGCCCCAGGGACGGACATATGGGGAGGAACTAAACTGACCTACTTCAGGGCAAGGGCTGGAGGCACAAGGACAACTCTCTTTGAGGACAGGAGCACTAGCATGCACCATTGTTCATTTGTTGCACTCTGCATTCATCTAGCTTGTTCAGTGCAGGGGGAGCCAAATCTATGCCCTCCCTTAACCTGGCTAACATCTTTTGCCCCACACTGGTAACTACCTGAGAACCTGTCCCGCCAAACTCTCTTGCATGAAGCAACTTCTCCACACAAGCAGCCTTCCCTGGCTCATGCTGCTGGTGTTCCTAAAATCTCTCAAAGGTTCACAAATGCCAAACAAGCTGCAACTGTCCTTGGCATGACTTGTAGCTCTTGATAAAAGGCCTCAAGCCAAGCACAAGTGGAGATGAGTCTCAACTTCATTTTAACTCCCAGGAGTTATCTGTTTGGAGAAGCCTGAAATAAGTGGCAGCCAGTCCTGGCCTGGCACATAGCTTCAACTATAAGGCCACAAGCCCAGGACAAGTGGTAGCCAGTCTTGGATACAGAATAGCCTCTCCCAAGCATCTCCAAGCCCAGAACAAGCAGAAACAAACTGCATATCACTTTGTAGCTCCTACCTTGTGGTTCCTAGGCCAGCATAAGCAGAGGCTGATCTTGGCTTAAAACAGAGCCCTTACCAAGAGGCTCCAGACTCATTATGCCCATTTGCTGACCTGAGGTCACACCAGAGCACCAATCAGCTCCACAAATGACAGCCAAAGGGTAGACTTGGCCTCAGTGACTCCTGCTCTGTGGTGTCAGCATCAACTCCCAAGCAACAGCTGAGCCACTGGTGTCAGACAGCCAAAGAGCCCAAGGCCCCTCCTGACCACTGATGGGCCAACAGCAATTAGAGCCTGACTACAACAGGAGGGGATGGACAACCCACACTGGGGTCACCCCTGGGACACCTGGCTCAGGTGACCAGGAAGATGGTACCAGTGGGGCCCCATTGGACACCTTTTACATAAGCTCACTCTGCCAAGCCTGGGAGACCTACAAGATCTACCTAATACATAAAAACAAACACAGGGAGATAGCCAAAGTGATGAGATGAAAAAACATGGTCCATGAAAAGGTAGGACAAAACTCAAGGAAAAAAAACACTAAACAAAGTGGAGACAAGCAATCTACTAGATAAAGAGTTCAGAACACTTAAAGGAAGAATAGATGACCTCCAAATCTGTGTCCTCTTCAGAATGTCTGACCTTATCTCCAGCTATGTGGGGTACATAGTCTCAGACATCTAGTTACCTCAAGTCCTAGAACTTCAAAACAAAGTGAACGGTCAGTGGCCAAACAGTGCCCTGCCACCTTCCCTCCGTCACTGCCAGACCATGGCCAGATAACCTGGGGCTGATTGGCCTCACTGCCTCCTGCCTTGCCACGGCTCCTTTATGGAGGAGTAGTTTCTGCTCTTGTTCTTTTGCCTAGCAAGGTTTCATCTTATCCCTGTGTGCTAAAGACTGAAGGTTTGCATGGTCCCAGAATTCATATGCCTAAACATAATCCCCGATGTGAATGTACTGGAGGTGGGAACTTGCGGAAGCGATCAGCTCATAGAGACAGAGCCCTCAGGAGTGGGGTTACTATCCTTAAAAAAAGAAATCCCAGAGAACTCTCTTGTCCCATCTGCCATGTGAGGACACAGTGAGAAGACACTTGTCTATGAACCAGGAAGTGGGTTTTCACCAGACACCAGATCTGTTGGTGCCATGATCTTGGACTTCCAGCCTTCAGAACTGTGAGAAATAAGTGATGTTTATGGGCCACCTGGTTTGTGGTAGATTGTTACAGCAGCTTCAGTACCCTAAGTACAACACTCTCTTAATCATCCCCGTGTAGCTGGACCCTTATGAATTTCTACAAAATCTTTACTTGTTACTGCAGCTATCAGCAACTCTCAACTCATTCATATTTAATGTGTACATGACAAAATGTAACATTTAATCAATTCTGTTTTGTAGTTTTGGCCATATATTCATCTGGGTCCAAGCTAATATCACCTAAGTGTGTATCATATGCCAGGCACTGGGGTACTGCCTGTGTTTCAGTCCACCAGCTCTTCAGCATAGCTCAGTGGGGTCTCATCATATCTTCTAGATTAGAGATAAAAATGCTAAAATTCTGAGAGATGAAATGATTCAAATTCACAGGGCAAAACAGCGGAGATAAAATTTATGCCCATTTCTGTCTGAGTACAAATCAATAATCTTTCTGCTCTGTGTTGATTAAATTGAGTTTCTTTCAACTGATTTTCTAAATTCCAGTTAGAATTCTTTTCCCTATGAAAGAATCTGAGTTATAATCTAGGGCATATATATAATTATCATCTTAAATCCTCTTCTAAACAAGATAAAGCATAAACAAATGAATACATAAATATATCATCAATGATTTCTATTAAATATCCAATAAATTCTAATATATATTTTGGATTGATGACTTTATATTATCAAGCTAGAACATAAAATATACTACCAAAAACTTAAAAAATTTTCATCCAATTTGAAATATTTGAGAATCAACAATAAAGACATGCAAATACTATAGTCCCATGTAACACAAAGTTGTATAAAATTAACCTTTAAAGGTCTGACCATTATTTTTAACACCTTAGACAAATTTAGTTACCAGACATAGTCATCAATGCATAGCTCTCTTCTTCAATCCTTTTCCTCTTCAACAGGATGTGGCTGCATGACTATTTAGTGGTTTTATTGATGGATAAACTAAATGACAAGGGTGTCAGATGCTGCTGGAAGTGTGCCCACGGGCCTCACATCCTGAACACCAGTGGCCAGCCCTGCCTCTTTGCTGGAGGGTTGCTTTCAGGCTGCCACAGTCTCCTCTGCCAGGGTGCAGCAGTCCAGGCAAAACGGAACTAACGCTCGAACTCATGACCACTGGCCTGCAAACTGGATAAAGTCACACCTCTCCTTCTGCCATTTACCAAACTAAACCAACCCATAAAGAAAAAAGTTCCCACACCAGCACAATTAGTATCTCCTACTCCAATTCCTTGTCTTTGTGTTCCCTTTTATAAACCTCCTCTTCTTGATTTTTCTCCCCAATCATATTCCCCACTTACAGATCACACTTCCACTGCTCTTCAGAGCCACTATTTTCCCAGAAATGTAGAATTTAAACACATACAAAAAGACCTTAAGTGATTAAGGTCTTTGAATTTTAGAGACAGGTTTTTTTTTTTTAATTAAACTGTAGGAGCATCTGCATAAAAGTATTTGCGAATGCATGCTATATAAACCATAAAAAGTGGAGTTGTACCCTGGCTGGCATGGCTCAGTGGATTGAGTGCCAGCCTGCAAACCAGAGGGTCACCAGTCTGATTTCTGGTCAGGGCACATGCCTGGGTTGCAGGCCAGGTCCCCAGTTGGGGACATGTGAGATGCAGCCACACATTGATGTTTCTCTCCTTCTCTTTCTCCCTCCCTTCTCCTTTCTCTAAAAATAAATAAAATCATTTTTAAAAAGTGGAGTTTATTTGGTTGAAGTGGAGAGGGCAAGTGCTTGAGGCTCTGAGGTGACTCAGAGGTTCCAGGGCCGTATAGACCAGGCCAGGAAGCTGCAGCCACCAAGGAGGAAGGTGCCTTTTTCTAATGAAATGCAGTAGGGCCTTGTGCCCAAAGCCTTGCTCTTAGCATTACCAGGAGTGTGCTAAGCACCTACATAGATTCTGAACAGTGACAGTCTACTGTTTGTGGCATTTCTTGCAATAAACTGTGAATGTAAGGATTGTAGAAATGGGGAGAGATGGATGGAGGAGAGGAAGAAGAGACACGTGACAGGGGAGTGTGTGGAGGATTAGAAGTCCTGGCCACATTTGAGGCACATGCACACAGGCAGAGGGCATGTCTCTGTGCACTATTTACAAGTGCTGGGCTTAAGGAATAAACTTTCCTGAGTTTAAAAGATAAATTATGCCAGCAGTGTGGTACCCTCTGCCAATGTCAGGGGCTTAGCTAGAGATAGAAGAAACAGGCTATTAAATCTGCAACACTTTTTTCTTCTGTCCACAGAGGCTTCTGTGGAAACGCCAAAGCAGATACCAAGGACGAAAGAGGAAAGTGTTGGTTCCCAAATAGACTTATAACTACGGTGAGACTTGTTGTCATTTTATCTATTCCTATTGCACCCAGTGACCCAGGACATAACTGTCAATTAAGTTACAATTTTACCTGAAGTACTACTGCAAGTTATACTGCAGGTTTTGTTTGTAAACTTAGTAAATGAACCAAACGGAACAATGCTCCAGCTGATGTGACTGGCCGCAGACGGTGCTGGGTAGGGTAACTCCTGACTATTGGGGTCTGTTGCTCTTGATTACTCTGTCTCAGGGTCTTTCGTCCTGAGCTGGTGATCCTGAATTCAGAGCACATTGGGTGGCATTGTAGTATCATTTCTAAAATATTGGTTCTACTGTTCTGTTTCCTTAGAACTGTCTCTGTCCTCAGGCAAACAGGGCCCTAGTTTTAGCCGTGGTATCTATGTATACACACAGAGAAACGTGTAAAGGATTCATTATTCCTAGTGGGAGTAGAGAAACTTAGAGAAGTAAAGCACACCTGCTGTTTTCATGATCAACACTTGGTAATGAACTATAGAAATGATCCCTCAAAGTATAGTCTTATGATCAACACTTGGAACAGGGTGCATAAATGCTTCAGTTTACGGAAACAGCGAGACCTTCCTGAACCCTCCTAGTGATTAATTAAAAAGCCTGTCTTACAGATTTTTCTCTCAGGTGTACTAACCTTGTAGCCCTTACCATTAAGAACTAATAAATAAATGCTTGGTTAAGCATAAACAGGATGATAGGCAGTGAAAGAGTGATGATCTTGGTTTTTATGCAATATGCTCACTCTGTCATTTTACCTTGGAGGACAAAATAACATACAAAACTAAGAGTTGTAAAAGCAACTACAGTGAGCAATTTGTTATTATCTACTTAAGAAGTAGTAATAGTCTCCACTGTGAATGATCATCTTTGTGATTATAACACATATGATTCATTTTAATAGATAAAAATTCATGATTTTAAGAAAGCATTTTGAATTCTGCAATTAACTGAAGACATACACTGGGTAAAGACATATAGAGAGTGATCAGATGTTTAAATTTACTCTAAAAAATTAAACTAGATCACAAATGAAGTGGAAGCCTGCCCATTTAACAGATGCTTCTGTATCTGATTTGTGCAAATACTAAGTTATCCATCATATTAAACACAGTTCTTCATCTTTCTCCCATGTATTTTACGCAAGTAAATCTGGGTAACTACTGATTCCTTCCATCATCCTGTCTTTTAAAACACATTTTAAGAAGTAACATGGCAAGCTGGGAGCTTTGACAGTCATGAACTATCATAATCTTCATAATTTTAGCTTCTACCATGAAAATGATAAAAAACAGAGTGAACCCCCTTGAACTATGCAATCAGAATCCCACAAACATGACAGTATATTTAGGAAAAAAAAAGATCAAACTGTCTAATTATAAACAAAACATTTGGATAACTAGCTAATCTGTGAACAACTTAACAGATTCATCTTAAAAGGATTTTTACAGTATTAACAAATTGTTTTAAAAATCTAGGCCACAGTATGAAAATCAAATCATTCACTTATGTTATTGGGGCAATGTGAATTATGCAAATACGACAAATCTCTACTTCTTTGATAATTGCCAATTCAGTCAAGGATCTCCTTTAAACTGAAATAATGACTTGAGACATACACTAAAATATATTCTTAAGGTAAAATAAAGAGTGCAAATAGACATTTTTCCTTTCAGGCTCAAATTAATGTAGCTCCCCAAGATGTTGCCTTATACCTTGATTAATTCCCAAATAAAACATTACCAGTTTGCTTGGACAGGGAATAAGAGAGCTTTCCAAAGATATCACAATTTCATTTTTTGCAAATCTTTTTCTGTTACACAAAGTTAGCATCTCAATGCAAAAAACTAAAGGCCATCAAATTAAATGATAAGCTTTTCTATGGAAAAACAACCTTCTTTAGCTTCCTTTGTTTTTTAAAGACTTTACTTATTTATTCTTAGAAAGGGGGCAGGGAGGGAAAAGAAGAAGGAGAGAAACATCAGCGCCTGGAGGCCTTTCTGTTCCCAGGCAGGGCAGCAGGCAGTCCACCGAGCCACACCAGCCGGGGCTCTCTGGCTTCCTCTGTATTTCTACACAGATTAACATTGTGCTGCTCTGATTGGTTTTCGCCCCTCTTTTTTTAGGAATAAATAAAAAGGAAGAATATACAAAAGGAAATGTCAGAAAGATGCTCCAGTTTTCTCAGTATTTAATTCATATCTTTTTTTGGATACTTAAACTTTATAGAATTATGTATAAGCTCCTATCTCCAGAGGGCGGGTAACAGTCACTTGACCTCTCACAATCTAGAAGTAACTTTAATATTTGGGGAATGTCTTACCAGGCATAAGTGTCTGTACAAAAAGAAAGAGACAGAAAAATTTTTAATTAAATAATTCTACAACTGTTAACTCTAACAGTAAATAACAAATCAAAGGGAAAAATGAAAGAAAATGATTGGACTTCCAAGAAACCTCTCTTCACTGAGTTGTTGGAATTCCTTAAAATTTTATTTAAATATAGGAACAAAATACCATGAAAGAACTAAAAGTAGCTTAAGTTAGTGCCTCCAACAGCTGATGTTTTCAGGTGCCCCTTCCCTTCCCTTCCACCCCTCAGTGGCCCCTGCGTGTGCTGTGCACACAGAATCCTTTCTGTACCCTCAAGAGTTACAACATTCATAACAAGATTCTCATGATTGTTTAATCTTAAATATTTTATATAGTGTTTTACTTTGATTCATCTCTTGATAATAATAATCATCATAGGTGCTATAATCCCTAAACTCTTACCTGCTTGAGAATATTGTCCTCATATTTGAAAAGTAACTTGTCTTTGAATAACATTCTTAGATCATATTTTCATGACCTGTAAAACACACAGCATGGCCTGCTTTTCTCTGACATTGTGCTGCTTTGAAGAAATTTAAGACACACATGATTTCCCCCTTTTATATAACTTACTTTTTCCACTAGTATGCCCATATAATTTTATCCTTAAAAACCAGAAATTGTACTACCATATGTTTTGGTGTTCGTTATTTTGTATTCACTTTGTGTCAAATAAATGGGCCCTTGCCCTGTACAGATTAAATCTTTCTTAAGGAAATTTTTCCTATATATTAATTTTCTGTTGCATTTGCTTTGCTATTTTCTTTTTAAAAAGTATTTTTAATTGTCCTCCCTTGTCTTTCTGCCTTATCTATCATCTATGTAATATTTTTCACATTGTCTTTTTTCCTAATTTGGTTTGGTTTTATCTCTCAATTCTGACCTCCATGGCTTTGTTTCCAGGAACAAGATTTTAATTCTTTTGCCTTCAGTGGGGCTTTCATTTCTATAATGATTTCTAGTTTCTGCTTTTTTTCTGAGTTTTCTAGCTCAACTTTAATCTTATATTATTTTATTGTATCATTTTTTAAACTCTCTTGATCATTTTCAAAAGGTCATGTTGTCTCTAACTTTATTAAGACTGGGAAATTTTTTTCTGTGGTATTCTTCAGATGTATATTCTTCATATGCCTTTTGACTATAATATTCTTTTTTCCCACTTTCATGCATAGGTTGATTTCTTTGTGCTGATAGAGCACATAGGAAACCTTCGGAATGTCTGTCTCTTGTTTGTGTTCTGTGGCTTCTTCAAAGAAGCCTGCCTGAAGTAGTTTTAGTTTTATTATCTTCTTTGAGTTCTTCTAATTCTTGTATCATGAATATCATGAAGTCAATGTTAAGAACTTTTTGTTCAATGCCCCAGTCAGAGGCTTCCTGAAACTCAGAGCAAGAGCCTGACTGATTCTCATCTCTTTCCCTTTGTCAGTGCTTACCTATCATACTCCTTCAGGCCTCTCTGTAGAGTCTCGTCAACCCTTTGTGGACTCAGCTTTCACTCCTCATGTCCCCACGTGACATGTGATGTTTGTGAAAATAGTTTTAAAGGAGTGAAATGGAAGAATTAGCAGAGGATCAAATTGGATGTATTTTAGAAAATACCATATTGCTATTCTTTTTTGGTTGGGGAAGTGGAGGGCATATCTCAAAGGCAGTATCATTTTAAAGGTAGTTATTTATTTTGAAGTGATTTTATGTTTTTATTTCAGAGATTATTATGTTTGTTTTATTCTCCAATTCAGAAATTGAATCAGCAATGTTCTTTTCTCCTAATTTGGTTTTAGTTATATCCAGGGGCTCCCTAGGTGCCCATGGCCAAGAAGTCTAATACAAATAAAAATGCAATATCATTCTCTGTTTTATTGTAATTATCAACTGAGTTGAAGCAAAACCCACTGAGATGACTACTAAGCTGTGATAGAAACTTTATGAAATGTGTGGTCCCAGAAAGCACTTTTTATATCAGTCTGAAAAGAACCCAAGGTGTCGGAGAGAAGAAAGCTTACATATCATCTTCTTTTTAACAGCATACTCTCCCAGGCCTTTAGAACTTTTCCAAGCAGCCCCACCCTGGCTCTAGTCTGCCCTAGTTATCTTTGGCCCTGAAGGAAAGTGAGAGGTATCTCCTCAACTCTTGCTCCTCATCTAGAGTGTCTGTAATTAAAGAATGAGGTAGATAAAGGACTATTATTATGACTAGAACAGGTTTGGTTCACACTGGCTTGAATTATTTCATTTTTTCAAGTATAATATTCTCAAGTATCCTGCAAACATTCTTTACCTGTTTTTGTGGTGCCTACACATGGAGCAGTATCAAAGTAAAACGGGGTCATAGAAACAATTACAACATGGATTTATTAGACACACTACTTTAAAGAATATAGGGATGCTCAAAAAAAAAAAAAACAAAAACCCACACATCTTCAGCGTACAATCAGCCTGAACTTACTCCTTAGCTCATGGAAATCCAAACCATAGCTCCTATATTTTCTGCTATATTGTGGTGCATGATATTAGTTTAAATCAATTTAGGCATAAACAACCATAGCCATTCAACTGCTAGTTAATTATTGTACACAGCTATAAATATTTAAGGCCATGTAGTTCCTATT